CAAACCCAAATCCTGCAGCCGTTCTTCATATGTCTCCAGGCCTTTAAATCCCCTTAGTTGCTCTTCTTTGCCTAAGGCCCAACATCTTTTTCGTAAGGTGGGGACCAAAACTGGAGGCAGGTATTCCAGGTGCGGTCTTAATAAGGCTTTATAAAGCGGTACTGATGCTTCATGTGATTTTGATTCTATGCCTCTGTTTATACATCCCTACGTGCCCAATTTGCTCAATTTGATTAAGTTTGTGGTCACCTAGCATGTTGGGTGAAGCCAGCCTGGTGGGAGCACTGATAATTTTGGTGAATTAAAGTTGAAGTTAACCCGAAAGACCCTGAAGGATGATGGTATATGAAGCAGTCATTTAGTTTAGTTTACTTTACTGTCATTGCACCTCGTGCAATGAAATCAAACACCATCTTCGGTGCACATCATGACCATGAAAATAATCACAAGCACACATCCTTTGCATTGTATACAATTGAACTGATTGCATTAATATTGCACTATACTTATTGCATTAATATTGCACTATTGAACTTATTGCATTAATATTGCACTATACAGTAGAATTCAACAGAGCTACTACCCTTGGATAGAGGCTGTTTTTCAGCCTATTTGTCCTTGTTTTTATTATCCTGTACCATCTGCCAGATGGTAATAGTTCAAAAAAAGGGGATGCCCAGGATGAGATGGATCTTTGAAGATGCTTTGAATTTTCTTAAGGCAGCGGCAGCTATAAAGCTCTTCCAAAGAGGGGAGAGGGCAACCCATGATCTTCTGGGCAATGACGTTAACCCTCTGGAGTGCTGTCCTATCTGCCACTGTGCAATTGGCAAACCATACAGAGGTGCAGAAAGTTAAGATACTCTCTATGGTGCAGCGGTATTTAAATCTCAAACCAGGATAGGCCATATCTGGCACAGATAGCCCTTGTAGCATTTCCCCATCGAAAAAGCTTGCATCTCTTTCTTCGACCGAATGAGAGATTTAAATATTCCTTTAGCCCAGAGGTCTCCAAACTTGGCAACTTTAAGACTTGTGGACTTCAACTTCCCAGAATTCTCCAGCCAGCATAGCTGGCTGGAGAATTCTGGGAGTTGAAGTCCACAAGTCTTAAAGATGCCAAGTTTGGGTACTCCTGCTTTTAGCTTCTGTCTTAGCAGTGGCTCCTGTGCTTATGTCAAGCTGAGCCCAGGATACAAGATCAGCTTGCCAGGGTAGAAGAGAGAACCAAGAACCAGGGGGCTGCAAAGTTTCGGGGACCCAGGCCGGAGGCGCTACTGCCCCGCAACAAGCACAGGGTTTTAATCCTTTGCATGCTTGATATCATCTTTTTAATGTCATATTACTACACTTCCAAGCATTATTTTTATCGTTTCATTCCTTGCTTTTGTTATTTTTATATTGGTTCTTTTCTTTGTTTTATTGTTATAAGCCTCCCAGAATAGCCCCACAGTGAGATAGGCAGCAAGTAAATTTAATAAATTCCTCTCTCTTTCTCTGTCTCTGTCTCTCTCTTCTCTTGTCTTCTCTCTTTTCTCTCTCCCTCTCTCTTTTCTTTCTCCCTCTCTCTTTCTCTCTTTTCTTTCTCCTCTCTTTCTCTCCCACTCTCTTCCCTCTCTCCTCCTTTCTCTCTCTATGCTATTCTCTCCTCTCTCTTCTCTTTTCTGTCTCCTCCTCTCTCTCTCCTCTTTCTCCTGTCTCCTCTTTCATCTCTCTTTTCTCTTCCCCCCTTTTCTTTCTCCTCTCTCCCTCCCTCTCTCCTCCCCCCTTCCTCCCCCTCTCCCTCTCTCTCTCTCTCTCTCTCTCCCCCCTGGAATTGTTGAATGCAGAAGGCCCCCATTCTTATCCCTGTCCCAGCCTCTCATACAGGCTGTTGAGCATTCAATCCCCACCTAGCCTGATGAGGGTCCTTCAGGAGTCAAACCGGGAGGGAGGGAGTGGGTGGGGGGTTTCCCCAGGCTGGCTGCACGAGCAGAAGCCCCCGCAGCCAGCGAGCCAAAGGCAAGAATGACTCCACCCAGCCCGACGCTGGCGTTGGAGACCCTGCGGCCTTGGCCTTGGCATGCCGATCACGCCCAGCCCCGTTGGCCGTAAGTGCCTTTGACTTTGGATAAAGCCAAGCAAGCAAATTGATGTTCTTTTCCATCCTATTAGGAAGAGTTTAGTTCCAGAGAGGAGAAAATGGTGATTAAAAGGATCAGTCCACTCGGCTGCAAACAAAGCCGTATTTTGGACGACGTGTCCGTGTGAGATCTTGGCTTGGGGTTGTTCACTTGGCAGGATTTCGGGTTGGGGGGAGGGCGATGGGAAGCTGTGGGAGGCTCTGCAGCAGCACCGGTCCCCAGAAAAATCAAGGGGTAATCTCCTTACAGATAGTCCTCGATTAACGACAATAATTGAGACTAACATTTCCGGTGCTAAGTGAGCTAGCGAAGTGAGTGTTATCCACCCCCACCCCATTTTACAACCCTCGCTGCCACGGTTGTTAAGTGAATGGCTGCAGTTGCTTAAGTCAGGTAGACCGTCATTAAGCGAATGTGGCTTCTCTCCCTTGATTTCGTTCGTCAGAAGGTGGCAAAAAGGGGACCCTGGGACACTGCAACTGTCATAAGGAAGAGTCAGTTGTGCCGAGCATCTGAATTTTGATCGAGCGGCCTCTGGAGACGCTGCGAAGGTTACAAATGTGTGGGGGGGGAACAGCCACGAGCCCCCTCCCCCCCCCTTGCGTTTGTGATTTCGGTCGGTCGCTAAACGAATGGTCGCAAGTCGAGGACTGCCTGCACAAGAAGGGGTTGGAAGGGCTTGCCTTTGAATTAGCATAGCTTTGTCAGCTGGTATGAGGAAGACAGATAACAGATAATCAGAGTTGGAAGGGACCTTATAGGTCATCTAGTCCAACCCCCCCGCCCAAGCGAGAGACCTTACACCATTTCTGACAAATGGCAGTCCAATCTCTTCTTGAAAGTCTCAAGCGATGGCGCTCCCACAACTTCTGAGGGCAACTTCTGTTCCATGGGTTGATTGTTCTCACTGTCAGAAAGTTTCTCCTTATTTCTAGGTTGAATCTCTCCTTGTTCAGTTTCCATCCATTATTCCTTGTCTGGCCTTCGGGTGCTTTAGAAAATAGCTTGACCCCTTCCTCTCTGTGGCAGCCCCTCAAATATTGGAAGACTGCTATCATGTCTCCCCTGGTCCTTCTCTTTACTAGACTAGCCAAGCCCAGTTCCTGTAACAGTTCTTCGTATGTTTTAGCCTCCAGTCCCCTCATCATCCTGGTTGTTCTTCTCTGCACTTTTTCTAGAGTCTCAACATCTTTTTTATAATATGGTGACCAAAACTGGATTCAGAACTCTAGGTGTGGTCTTACTAAGGCAAAAGTCTTATTAAGCCCTTTGCCTGACTCCGCCAAAAGCCACATTTTTCTCTTCTGCAGGATTGGTCTCAGTGTTTTAAGCAACCCTCCACTCCAACCAATAACTCGGAGACAGACATTGCTCAAAAGTTCTTTTTTTTTATTTGGATAGTAACTGGCACAACTGGGGGAATCCCGAATCTGAAAAATTCTGGGCTTCCTTGCCATAATTAAAAACTGCAAATCCATCCCCTGCCCCCATCGTCACATCACATGGCACAATCAACCATCCGTCCCAACTTAAGACTTCCCCTCACTTATGCACAAAATAACATGACCTTGACCTACAAAAAGAATGTCATTTTGACTAACTACATATACCCCAAGAACGTCCACCCCCCACCCCCACCCCCACTTTCCCAGGCTCAAAATTGTGGCACCGTGGGAGCATCTGGTTTCAATATGCCTTCCAAAGCTGACATTCGTACTTTCATGGAAGGAAGACGTGTGTGTGTGTGTGTGCACGCACGCGCGTGCATGATGGTTTCTTGGAGGAAACAACAATCTTGCTGCATGACATTAAGTGACTCTTTTTTCTTTTCAAGGGAACCTGAAGGTGACTGATCTCCCCATAATTTCCCAGCAGCAGGGGATGATTGACAGCTGCTCATCTTCTAAAGCAGGGGTCCCCAACCACCGGTCCCCAGACCAGTACCGGTCTGTGGATCATTTTTTACCGGGCCGCAAAGCTTGGGTGCCGCCATCTTGTTTCAACGGCGCTTCCGGGTTTTCGGTTGGAAAGCGGCGTTTGGGTGCTCGCGCCTTAGTTTCGTCAAAGGGGGGGGGGGGCGGCTTCGAACGAAGAGCCGTCCCGATGGCGGTGGAGTCTCGCGTTACTCAGGTACCGGTCCGTGGAAGAATAAATAATCGTGAAACCGGTCCCTGGTTCAAAAAAGGTTGGGGGCCACTGGGTTATAGGAGAGGATGGGGACAATTGGTGAGGGTTTATTGTTGTGTCTTAAGGAGCAAAATTCTCAGAGAAGATTATGAGTTCTTGATTTATAATGGTTCATTTAGCGACCATTCAAAGTTACAACAGTCCTGGGGGGGAAAAAAACCCTTTTTTTTCAGGGCTGTTGTAACTTTGAATCATCACTAAACAAACCATTGTAAGTCGAGGACTACCTGTTGTCAACTCATAAAATATTTCTATGGTCTTTTTAGAGTTGCCAAAAGAAAGGGAAGGGGGAGCAGTGCGGCAGCTTGCAAACCGAAAGTGCATTCCATAAATGTTTTCGAAGATAGTTTCTAGGTGACCGAAGTTTCTGCCGTGCAAACTTCTAACTGGAGAGCATGATTGATGACTCTTGGCTATGGATGTGTCCCATTGGATAATATGAATTATGATACACCCAGGGGATGGAGGAAAACCAGGGTCAAGGGTGACAATAAATGATGTGTCTCAGAGTCGGCTACACCCAGGCAGCACCGGCATGTTTACTCCTAATAAATCTTCTTTTAAGTTTTGAAAATTTGGCTAGAGACTCATGATTTAAATGGGGGTAGCTACCAGAGCCCTGACTCCTGTAGCCAATTCCACCCTGGGGGGACCAGAGTACTTTGTAATTCTCCCTCTATTTTCCCCCAGGTCGCCCGAGTCCTGCAACCCAGAGGAAGGTTTATCTCCATCACTTTTGCCCAGCCGCATTTCCGCAAGCGTCACTACGCCCAGCGGGCCTACAACTGGTCCATCCAACACATCAGTTACGGCAGGGATTTCCACTACTTCCTCTACGTCATGAAGAAAGGTGGGGCGTTGTCCCCCTCCGACTTGGCCCTGGGGCAGAGCCTCCATCGCCACCCCTCGTCCTCCAGCCCTGTGTTCTCCTCCCTCCAAGAGCCGGATTGTGAGAACTACCTCTTCAACATTCAACTCTGATCTCAAGAGAAGGAATATCTCGAGGGAAGGAGCTGCTTGTGGGGCGAAGGTCCCAAAGGGCCATGCCAAGATACTTCCTCTAGGTCAGGGGTCTCCAACCTTGGCTACTGTTTACGACTTGTGGACTTCAACTCCCAGAATTCCTCAGCCAGCCATGTTGCCAAGGTTGGAGAGCCCTGCTCTAAGCCACTCCCTCTTTCCTTTGCATCCTGTCTGAATTTACCAGGTGTGCCAGTGCGATGGCCTAGCGGTGGAGCTCTTACTTCAGAATCAGGAGGCTGCGAGCTCGATCCTAGGCAGAAGCAGATATTTCTCTGGGCACCATGAGAACATATCTGCTGAATATAACTCCACCTTGGCGACAGGAAAGGCATCCGGCCAGTGAACACTCAGCTCCATTCCATTGCCCAGACTCCACCTCACAAGGGAAGATGATGAGTTACAATAGAGCAAACCCCGTTCACGCTGGATGTAAAGAGGAAGTGGCTTAGAGCAGGCCTCTCCAACCTTAAAGACTGGTGAACTTCAACTCCCAGAAATGGCTGAGGAATTCTGGGAGTTGAAGTCCACCCATCTTAAAGCTGCCAAGTTTGGAGATCTCTGCTCTAGGTCACCTGGGGTAATTCCCTGCATTTTTTAATACATTTTTTTTAAAACAATAATAACGATGGTGATCAAGCCTCCTCTTCAATTGGCAAAGAGGGGGGCTGTTCTCGGGGGAATTGGTTGGGAACGCTTTCTGCTGCCAAGTTGGTTGCAGAAAGTCATTTCTCTTCCCTTCCACCCCACCGAGCTCGTCCTCTTGCTCATATTGTAGAGTTGTGAACCGATTTATGGAAAAGCAGGGAAGGGAGAGGTTAAAAGCTGAGAAGTTGTTGTTTTTTTAAAAAAAAAATCTTGCCGCTGTGCTCTGAATCCTTAAGTGTCTTCCAAGGCCCTTTTTGGCCGCCTCTGTTTTTAACAGACTTTCTGAAAATCAGGAATATAAAGACACCATCCAGATCTCAATGAGAGACCAACTCAGAGGGTTGCTGGCCCTAACTCAACCTTGTTTTGGTTCTTCTGAGGAGGAACCCTCAACCTGTCTATCAAGGGTATGTGAAAACTATCTAAAACAGACATCTCCAAACTCGGCAACTTAAAGACTTGTGGACTTCAACTCCCAGAATCCCTCCTCCGGTCATGTCAGGAATTCTGGGAGTTGAAGTCCACAAGTCATTAAACTTGCCAAGTTTGGGGATCCCTGGTCTAAAACCTCTGGAGTCGGGTGTTTTTTAAACCTTCTACAAAGCGTTAACAAAAGTCGAGTTGCCATGTACAACTCATGAACCCCCATTTTAACATGGATTTCACCTGTGGTGAGAATCCACCCATTGAAGTCTTCCCTGCCAGCCCTTTCGTTGAACAATTTTCTCCAACTTGGGTGCCTTTCAAATGGCCGGGGAGCGATGGGGCTTGTAGTCTTAATGCCTCTGGTAGGCAATGGCCTTTCCATGCGCCGTCGAAGTACCTCAGATTAATTCTGCAATCTGAAATTGGGAATTATGTAATTGATTTTCTACTATTGCAAAATTTGTATCCATGAATGGTTGGAGTTTTATGCACCATTCTGGTAAAGTCTTTTTTTTTCCTGGATTTTTTTTTTCCCAATGAAATATATAGATGCTAAAATGGAGTGATGCTCAGGTTGTATCCTGGGGAAGGAGAACCTGAGACGAGGAAATCAAAGGTAAAGGCTTCCTGTTTCTATACTAGTAATCTGCAACTTACAACCACAATTGATCCCAACATTTCTGTTTGTAAGCGAGACAGTTGTTAAGTGGGTTTTGTCCTATTATGAATCTTCCTTGCCACAGTTGGTGAGTGAATCACGGCAGTTGTTAAGTTGGTCACGTGGTTGTTAAGTGAATCTGGCTTCCCCGTTGACTTTGCAGCTCAGAAAACCTTAACCGAGACACTGCAACCGTCATAAATAGGAGTCGGTGGCCACGCGTCCGAATTTTGATCCCGTGACCATGGGGATGTGGGAACAGTCATAAATGTGAAAATTGGTCATAAGTCACTTTTTCCCAGAGCCCTTGTAACTTGAAACAGTCCCTAAATCAGAGGTCTTCAAACTTGACAGCTTCAAGACTTGTGGACTTCAACTCCCAGAATCCCTCCTCCAGTCATTCTGGGAGTTGAAGTCCACAAGTCATTAAACTTGCCAGGTTTGAAGAGCCTTGCCCTAAATCAACGTTTAATAAGTTGAGGACTACCTGTAAGGTCATAATTTTTGAAAACGAGCGATTTGGGAGCCGGGCCAGAGAGATCTGAAGTACAGTCCCAGCTGTGGGATCTCCCTCACCTGAATCTACTTCAAGGGGGTGTTCTTTGTGAGGCAAAAAAGGAAATAGGGCTACTGTATGAGTGCCATCTTATCTCTTGTTCTTCCCCAAACCACCTTAAGGCATAAAGAAGAACAGGAGCTGTAGCCAGGCATTGTGCTGAGAGGACACCCTAGAAATAGCATTTTTTCCTCACACTTAAGAGTGTCAACAGCTGCTTGGAGATGTTCCCCCTCAACATTCAGACACTGAGGAGCATGCAATGCAGGAAGAGTTTTGAGGACTGCAACTTCAGCGCTCGATGTAAACCACTCGTGATAAGTGACGAGTGAAAAATAGCTACTTCTATCTCCCTGTCAGATATCTGGAAGTATGTGTGTATGTGTCTCCCAGCACTGCCTTCCCAAATAGTAAACTTAAAATGACTGAAAGGACAAACTCTGCAATGCCTGAGACCTAACCATATTGTGTTTCATTGATTTTTTTTTTAATTGAAGGTACATTTCGACCATATTCAACCCACTTTGCATCTTTTGTAGGCTAAATCATCTGCTGATTGGCCCAAAGTCACCCAGTCAGCTATCATGCCTAAGGTGGGACTAGAACTCTCCGCCTCCTGGTGATTGGCCCAAAGTCACCCAG